AAGCATGAGATGGTGGGATTGTCTGGAAGGAGAGGAAGCCAAATCCAAGCCGCAGGGGAAGCCAAATCCAAGCCGCCCAAGCGTGCCAGCCCTTGCTTGTGGGACCCTCGGTGGCGACTCACGGGGGCCTCCCATACTAGTATCGTGTCGGCTCTTGCGAATCGACGCTGATCGACGCAACGCCGACGCGAATCGACGCCGAATCGGCGCTATCTCGTCGCTTCCCCGACGCTGATCCACGCCGGCGTGCTCTCAAGATGGAACTGCGAGAAGCAAGGCTCCCATGACTCGCCATACCGAATGGGACCCGCACCAGTGGTCCCTCCGGCGAAGGGCCACTCTTACGCGCAGCCGCGCTGGTCGGTCACCAGGGTGGGGCCCCCGAAGCCCGGCGCGGCCTCCACGTACAGGACGCAGCTGCAGATGGGGTGCCGCGCGCCGCCGATGCCCTCGTTGTCGCTGTCGAAGTGGAGCTGGTGCCCGCACGGGTGCGGGCGGCAGTGCGCCCACCACTCCGCGGCCGTGGCCTCCCCCAGCTCCGGGAAGTGCGCGCGCGCTATCCGCAGCACGTGGCGGACTCCGAGGAGCAAAGAGCACGACGTGAGCACAAGCTTTCGGAGCTCCGCGGGGGTCTCTCGGATCTGCGCTGGGGCCCCCTGGCGGCGCCGCCCCTGGCGTGCGCTCCGGGCGTCAGGGAAAGGGGGGTCCAGCGCCGATCCGAGAGCTCCGTGCGGACCCCCGACAGGTTTGTGCTTTCATGCCACCTCTTCCTCTTCAGGGCTTGCCAGGTCCAGCGTGGACGTCGCGGGGCCGTCGAGGCCGCGGACGTAGCTGAAATACCCGTTCTCGCCGCTGCCGAGGAGCTCGCTGTAGCCGTGCTCGCGCCAGAACGCCGCCCCCGGCGCCAGCACCTCTTCGGGGTCCCAAAACGGCGCGGCGGCATACAGCGCGGCGAAGCCTCAACGGCCTCACAGTGCGGTCCCTCACCGCGCGATTCTGTGGGACCCTGGAGGCCCCGAGCGCCCGGGACATCCTCGGAGAACGATCCAAGTGCCCAAACCGTGCAGTCACCCCGTACCCCGAGACCAGACGTTGCAGACAAGACACACAACATCGCCAAAAATCGCCGCTGGAGCCCTAGACCCTCTGTTTCTCCGCCATGTTTCGCGCCAGATCGCTCTGTGATGATCCTGGGGCCCGGAAGCGAGCGAAAAAGCTTGGTGTGAATCAAACCCAGACATGCGACGTCCTGATATTGTCAGTACAGGGTCCCTGGAAGTCCCGACCCTTTCCCCGAGACCGGCTTCTCATCCCGAATAATTTTTTCGAGGGTACCGAGGGCCCCCAGAGGCCTAAAGTTACGAAAAACCTCCCGTCGCGTGTTATTTCTCACAGCGCCAGGGGGTCTGGGATCTCAGGGCACTCTAAATCCATTATCAATCGACACCCCCAAAAAAACCGAACACCCCTCCAAATGCGACCTAATATTCTGGACCCCCTCTTCGACGGGGCGCCTCAATAAAGCGGACCCCCAAAGCTCCGATCCCGATCCAAAGAAAGCGCCCTGAGAAACCGGACCCCTCCACAGGTTACAAAAAAGGCGCCTTCAAAAACCGGGCCCGGGGGACGATGACTAAGGGATCTGGAGTGCCGACTGGGACCCCCTGACTCCGGATCCGCCCTACTTTGTGGAAATTCGCAGGGCTTGGAATTTCCGCTTTACTTTTCAAGCCCCGCTGATGCCAATTTCCGCCCTACTTTTCTGCTGCTGTTTCCGCCCAACTTGTGTGGATTTCCGCCCCACTTTATGTTGGGTGCCGCAATTTCCGCCCTGCTTGTTCGGCCTCTCATAGGTGGATGTCCGACGCAATTTTAAATTGGAGAAAAAAACCAAAGTAGGGCGGATCCGGAGTCGGGACCCCCTGTGGGCCCGCACCAGCGGCCCCTCCGGCGAAGGGGCCACTCTTTTGCGCGCAGCCGCGCTGGTCGGCCACCAGGCCGTGGGCCCCCCAAGGCCCCGCGGCGGGCCCCCGAAGCCCGACTTGGAAGAGAGTCGAGTCGGGCCTGTCCCCCTACAGGGGGATTTTCGACGAAAGCCAAAAATGACCCCACAAATAATCCAACAATAGTCCAAACATAGTCTGGGGACTATTTGTTGAATATGTTTGACCTTTTCGGGGAATTCTTGGGCCATCTTTCACTTTTCGTCGAAAAAAACCCTGTAGGGGGATACGCCCGACATAAGAATAGAGCCTCACCGCCACGGCGTGCCCCGACCGAATCCCAGAGATCCGCCGCGGCCCCCGGAAGCCTCGACCCCTTCCCCAGCACCGGCTTGTCGTCCCGAGTCGTTTTTTGACGGTCCCGAGGCCCTGCGAAGGGCCCCTATAGGGGCTGAAATTTGCGAGAAACCTCCGTCTTGATTTTTTCAATGCGTTGGATCTCTGGGCCCAGACATCCGACGTCTTGATTTTTTCTATATACGGGCTCCCTGAAGTCCCGACCCTTCCTCCGGGACCGGCTTGTCGTCCTGAGTCGTTTTTTGACGGTCCCGAGGCCCGGCGAGGGCCCCTATAGGGGCCGAAAACGGCGAAAAACCTCCGTCTTGAGTTTTTCAATGCGGTGGATCTCTGGGACCGCATGCGCCCTGCTTCGGCCCGGGCTGCCCGCGCCTCGCGCAGGTGGCCCAGCAGCGCCCCCGGGAGCGCGGCGTCGAAGACCCGCAGCGGGGGCCCGCCCGGCGCCGGGGGCGCGCTGGCGGGCTGCTCCGGGAGGGATTCCAGGAGGGGGGCTCTTTGGGTCAGGTCGGGCGCGTCCCCCCACAGGGGAATTTTCGACGAAAAATAAGAAATACCTCCAAACCCATACCTCCTCGCGTAGTGAAAAAATCACGACGGGAGGTTTTTCGCCATTCTCGGCCTCTGGGGGCCCTCACCGGGCTTCGGGAGCGTCAGAAAACGACTCAGGATGACAAGCCGGTCCTGGGGAAGGGGTCGAGAACTCTGGGGTCGACGTAATGAAAAAATCATTACGTCGGGGGTCTGGGCCCACAGGGGGATCGTCGACGAAGAATTTAAAAAAATACCTCCAAAATAAACCAAAAATAATCCAAAAATAGTCTGGGGACTATTGTTTGAATCTTTTCTGGCCTTCTGGGGGTATTTTTGGGGTACTTTTATTTCTCGTCGAAGATCCCCCTGTGGGGGGACACGCCCGACATAATCTTTGGGGGAGGGGGTCTTCCAGAGAGCTCCCCATGGGGCCTCAGAACCTCGCTAGGGGGCCACATGCGAGCCCCACCCTATATATCCACCACGATTTCTGAGGGGGAGGGTGGAGCCCGCTTCGCCCAGGAGCTCCCGGACGAAAGTGGACCCACCCCCCCTCTCAGAAATCGTGGGGGTATAGGGGCAGGGCTCGCACGAGGCCCCCTGGCGAAGCCCCTGGGGGACCCTTCCTGGAAGGACCCCCTCCCCACCCAGAGATCCGACGTCGTGATTTTTTCAATACGGGGTCCCCAGAAGTCTCGACCCATTCCCCGGGACCGGTTTCTCATCCTGAGTCGTTTTTTGACGGTCCCGGGGCCCGGCGAGGGCCCCTCGAGGCCGGAAAATATGAAAAACCTCCGCTTGATTTTTTCAATGCGTTGGATCTCTGGGCAGAAGCCCCCTCTGGGACCCTCCGCTTCTCGGGCGCGGGCGGGTACCGGATGACCCAGGGCGCCAGGCGGAAGGTCCACCCGCCCCTCCTGAGCAGCATGCAGGGCCGGCGCGCCGGAGGGGGTATGGAGGGCGCGGGGAGGGCCTCTTAGACGAAGGCTGCTCCCTGGGAGGCGCCGGCCCTGCATCTGCAGAGACGAAGCCCGCGCCTTCTAAGAAGCAGGGGTGCTTCTACAGTTGGGGCGTTGACCTAAGGAACCCTAAATAAGGAACGAGGCCCCTTTTTCTTATAAGTTCAACCTCGATTTCCTATGAAAACCCTCGGGAAAACCCGAGGCAAAGTTTGAAACAATCAAGGAACACCGAGCCCCTCCCCAGCGAAAAGGGTTCCTTCTTCAGCGCCCCGACTGTAAGAGGCCCTCCCCCCTCCCCCCCCCCCTGCACGTGGCTGAAGGCAGTCGGCCCGCCTCACAGGGAGGCACGAGAAGGATGCAAAGGGCCTCGGAGGGCCCCGCCGACGGCTCTGCGGGCGGGGCGCGGCCAGCGAAGGTGGCCCAGGATGGGTCGAGGAGTAAAGGATGCACGGGCACCCTCCCAGACATCCGACGTCTTGATTTTTCCTATATACGGGCTCCCTGGAAGTCCCGACCCTTCCTCCGGGACCGGTTTGTCGTCCTGCGTCTTGAGTTTTTCAATGCGGTGGATCTCTGGGCTTGGACAAGTCGCTCATCCTTGCCGTGCGGGTTGCCTGTAGATCCTGCAGTGCTTTCGCGCCGGGCGCCTTCGCCCTCTGTCGGGCGCCGGGACCTGCGCCGATCGATCCGGCTCGAGACATGGCGCAGGGAGATGGGGTCCAGGGCACCCGTCGTGATTCTTCAGGATGTTCTCTCGCTTTGCGGCGCCAGATCTGAAGGATACACCAATCTCTACACCCAGAGAGTACATCGACCTCCCACTCTATAGGGGGGGACAAATGCGGTCTCCGCTGGTCTTCGTGGCACCTGTCTCCAGCTGGAGGCGCGTTGAGGATCGGGAGCGGCCAAGAGGGGGGTGTCCAAGAGGGGGGGGTGCAAATCATGACTGGCGGCATGTGCGCGGCCCAGCGGGGTGGCCTGGGACGTAATAAAATAAGAAGAGGCGCCATGAAATCTGGGGAAAAATCATGGCCCGCGCCATGAAATCCCCCCCCCCCTAGTCATCACCCCCCTCTTTTCCGCTCCCGAGAGGAACTCTGGCCCACTGGGGGCGGGGACGCGGTCGGGAACTTCTGCTCAGCGTGCCGCGGCGGCGGCGGTCCCCGCAGCGCGCAGTGCTCTGCACGCTGACGAGGTGCCGCTCCGATTCGTGGGACGGGATGCTCGGAAAACTCGGGACGCTGACGCTTTGGGACTAAATCGTGGTCTGTGCGTCGCGCTGAAGCGTGGTGGGCCACAACTCGCGGCGCGACACGCTAAACAGACCTTCCTGACCGCAGGTGGAGGAGGAGGAGGAGGAGGAGGAGGAGGGAGGAGGGGAAGGAGGAGGCGAGGGAGGAGGCGAGGAGGAGGAGGAGGAGGAGGAGGAGGAGCGATGCTGGCCTGAGCAGAGGCAGCGCCTCCTCCTCGCGGCCCTCCTGGCAGAGCAGCAAGGCCAACCTCGCCAGCGCAAGCCGCCGCTCCTGGGAAAACAAAAACGGCCTCCTCCTCCTCCTCATCATCATCATCATCCTTCTCCTCCTCATCCTCCTCCTCCTCCTCCCTTCTCCTACCTCCGCCTCCTTCCTCCTCCCTCCTCTTCCCCCCTCCTCCCTCATCCTCCATCCTCCCTCTCTCTCCTCATTCTCCTCCTCCTCCTACTCCTCGTCCTCTTCCTCTTCCTCCTCATCTCCTCCTCCTCCTCGCCTCCTTATCCTCCTCCTCTCCTCCTCCTCCGCCTCCTCCTCCTCCTCCTCTTCCTCCTCCCCTCCTCCTCTCCTCCTCCTCCTCCCTCTCTTCCCACCTCCTTCCCTCCTCTCCTGTCCTCCTCCCCTCCTCCTCCTCGTCTTCCTTCCTCCTCCTCGCCTCCTCTTCCTCTTACTCTCTCGCCTCCTTCTCCTCCGCCTTCTCCTTCCTAATCCTCTCATCATCATCCTCCTTCCTCCTCCTCCTCCTCCTCCTCCCTCCTCCTCCCTCCTCCTCCTGCTCCTCCTTCTCCTCCCTCCTCCTCCTGCTCTCCTCCTCCCTCCTTCTCCTCCTCCTCCTCCTCCTCCTCCTCCTCCTCCTCCTCACAAGTAAACTGTCGGAGCTCCGCGCGGAGTCTTGGAACTGCCGCGCCCCTGGCGCGCAGAGCGCGCCACCAGAGGGGGGGCCCGACGCCGATCCGAGAAATCCGCGCGGACCTCCGCAAGTTTTGCTCATGCCGTTTTTCTGGGGGAGCAAAAGCAGCATCGATGGCACGCCTCCCACCGGCGTGTTACTGGTCAAGAAGCACCAGGTACTCGGAACAAAAAAAGGAGCCAGACGCCCACGGGCTCCCCACGGCCGCGTGCCATTGGTATTATGATTCCTTCTCGATGTTCGCCCCGACCGCTTCCCGAGAGGTAGATTTGATGATGGACCCGGGGTCCGACGACGGGTCCCGAGAAGCGAGATCGACGACAAACAACGGGATCGAAACAACACACGAAAATACGCGCGGTCCTCCGAAAGTGTATGCTAATACCGTGTGCTTTCCTTCGATGTGTGCTGGAGGCGCCGCCAGGGGGGGTCTAGCGCCGATCGAGAGATCTGCGCGGAACTCCGAGAGGTCGCGTATCTGCCATTGTTTCCTTTAGCGGAAAACGAGAAATATCAGGAGAGGGGATGATGATGATGGTGGCGATGATGATGACAAGGATAAGCGAATGTATGCTCAAATTGTCACGTTTCGTCCGTATCCCAGCGGGGGATTATGTTATTACTTACGCGCGCTCAGACCGTTTCCTTCTCCCTCCTGTTTCTTCGTCACTCCCAGACTCATACTCAAACCACTCACACCCATCACTGGGCCCATCACAAACTCACTTCTTAAAACGCGAATTCGGCCACATTACTTCCTCATTTCGATTCACACAGACGCATACCCATCCAAACCGACGCAAGGAACTAACCTCAGACGCACCCCCACCCATACGCGCGTGTATCATATCACTCCGACACACTGTTCGTCACTCGGATTTTTCGGGTGGTCCAGTGCTCACCGCGACCCAGCACGCGTGGCAGTTGGGCAACCCAGGACGGGGGCCGCCAGGGGGGAACACGCTCCTGAATTCGCGCCCAAATTGTGGGAATGGCCCATGCGGTCTGCCTGCTCCTGCCTCCCATGTGGTCCACTGCTCACTGCGATGTAGCAGGCGTGGCCCTAGGGCACCTAACGGGGGAGCCGCCAGGGGTAAGCACGCTCCAAGATTTGCGCCCCGGTGGTGGGGATGTCTCAGGCGGTTTGTTTGTTTCTCCCACCCAGACCTCTCTCTTTGGATGGTCGACTGCTCACCGCGGTATAGCAAGCGTACAAGCTGGGCACCCCAAGTGGGGGACCGCCACGGGTGGGAACACTTCAAGATTCGCGCCCAGATTGTCTCTCAAGCGGCTTGCTCTTTTCTGCCCACCAGACTTTTTCTTTCGGTGGTCCAATGCCCGGCGCGATGCAGCAGGCGCGGCACTTGGGCACCCCAGTGGGGGAACCGCCGAAGGCGAACGTACTGCAGGATTCGCGCCCAGATTGCGGGGATTTCTCACGCGATTTGCCGATTCGTGTTCCCATTCTATATTTTCCCTCTGGTTGTCCACTACTCACTGTGAGAGGGCAACCGTGGCACTTGGGCAGCCCGACGGGGGGCCGCCAGGGGTGAGGACTCCTGGGGTCGCGGCCAGATTGTGGGGGCGTCCCAAACGGCTTTGCCAGTTTCTCTGACTCGCGAGCTCCTCTCTCACTCGTTCACTCACCTCCTTCCCGTTTTCCAAAGTCAAACGCACTCGCTCGCACTTGGAGCTACCCATCACGACCCTTCCCCACTCATACTCACCCTTCACACTCAGACCCGCGCGTACTCAAATTAGATCGTAGCCAGGCCCACTCATACTTACTCGCTCTTACTGAGAGCCGTTCGAAGTCAGACCCATTCGCATCCAGACCAAATCACACTCAGACTCGGTCACAGCCAAACCAACTCACCCACCCCCAGACTCACTCATACTCAAGCTGCTTCGCACCCGGGCCCACGCATATTCAGATTTACACTCATCACGCTCAAGCTCAGACAGACTCACCCACACTCAGGCTCACTCACACTCGACCCAGTCGTACTTAATTCGCTCGCACTCAGACTCACCCGTGCTCAGACCCATTTGGGACTCAAACTGGCCATATCCCGACCGACGCGCACTCAGGCTCAATGGTACCCAGGCCCGCTCACACTCCGACTCGCTCACAATTAGACCGCCCACGCTCATAGTCCCTCGCACTAAGGCTCACACACACATCTATGCCGCGAAATAGCCGGCGTGGCACTTGGGCACCCCCAAATGCCAGCAGGCGCCGCGAGTAGCACGCCAGAGAGGGGGCGCAGCAACGCCATGCGAGTTTGCCTGAGTTGCCGCGGGGAAAACAGCAAGAGGGAGTCCCCTTCTTTTTTTCCACGTGTGTGTTCCCTCGTCTCTCCTGACATATGCCCACAAGAGGAGGAGGAGGAGGAGGAGGAGGAGGAGGAAGAGGAGGAGGAGGAGGACCATCACTGAAGTCATCGCTGTCGTCGTCGTCGTTGCCGCGTCTCTCGTCTACGCAGAGTAACTCTCACACGCGGATGCTTATAGATAGCTCCAAAGCGAGACGTGACAGGAGTATGAGATGCACAGAGGGGTATATGCGCGTCGAGTAAGTATTCCTCGTCGTCTATTTCAAGGAGGAAGAGAAGGAGAGGAGGAGAGACGTAGATAAAGGAGGGGATGAGAAGGGGCAGGACAAGAGAGATGAGGAGATCCGACGACAGAGGGGGTGATCAGATGATCTCAGAGACAGGTGGAGGAGGAGGAAGATGAGGAGGAGGACGAAAACGAGTACGAAGAGGAGGAGGAGGAGGAAGAGCTTCTGCTCATGCCCGTTTTTTTTTTTTTCTTTTTCTTCTTCTTATTATTCGTTTTCCCTGTCTTATTGCTATTCGGATCATTATTATTATGGTTCTTCTTTTATTTTTACGTATGGCCATCCTTTTCGATCTTACTACTACTGCCATATATATTGTACTTATTGTGCTTGATACTGTTCACACTGCTATAATTACTAGAACTAATATGAGCATCACCCATCTGATTATTGTCATTATGATGTTTCTTCTTATGGTTATGATGAATACCAGTCTTGTGTTTACTCGTCGTCTTCATATCATCAGTGATCCCTGTATGATCGCTACCATGGCTATGAATAGTAACGTATGAGTAATCGTCTGTTTCTTTCCATTTGTGTCGCAGCTCCGCCGCCAGGGCGGGCCGCCGCGCCCTCGGCGCCGCCGCCGCTGCGCCCTCGGCGGCGGCCAGCGCCTGCCGCAGCCGCGCCTCGCAGGGCGCGAGGCCGCCGCCCGACGCCGGGCCGAGCACGCGCAGCAGGTGGGCCAGGCGGAGGCTCGCGTCCACGGGCCGCGCGGGTCCAAGGTCCTCCAGGATCGGGTCTTGCAGCTCCCTCCTCCTCTGCCCTCGTCCTCCTCCTCGTCCTCCTCCTCCTCCTCCTCCTCCTCCTCCTCTCCTCCTCCTCCCCCTCATCCCCATCCTCCCTCCTCTCGTCCTCGTCCTCCTCCTCTCCTCCCATCCTCCTCCTCCTCCCCTTCCTCCTTCTCATCCTCTTCCTCCTCCTCCTCCTCCTCCTCCTCCTCCCTCTCCTCCTCCTCTCCTCCTCCTCCCCTCCTCCTCCTCCTCTTCCTCCTCCCTCCTCCTCCTTCCTCCCAGCTCATCCTCCTCTCCTTCTCCTCTCCTCATCCTCCCCCTCCTCCCCATCCTCATCCTCCTGGTCCTGGTCCTCGTCCTCCTCCTCCTCCTCCTCCTCCTCCTTCTCCTTCTCCTCTCCTCTCCTCCTCAACAATTACTCAATATGAATATTACTCTCCCTCTTCCCCTGATGACGGTTTGAAAGTGTCCGACTCCCCCCCGCGTACTGTTTCTTTTACACACACGTTTCCCCGGAATTGGGTTTTCGCCTGCATTTTTTCAAAATGCTGCTCTCGCTGAGGCACCGGCCTCATTTTCGGGCCCCGCTCGTTCCGAATCGTGCTCCCGCTGCAGCGCTGGCCTCATTTCCGTGCTTCCGCTCGTTCCGAATCGTGCTCCCGCTGCAGCCGCTGGCCTCATTTCCGCGCTTCCGCTCGTTTCGACTCGTGCTCCCGCTGCAGCGCTGGCGTCATTTCCCGTGCCATGCCACGGCATGCAATGCAATGCTAGGTTGATGCTACGCTTTGCGGTGCTCTTCTACGCCATGCCATGCCGTGCTCTACAATGCATCGCGTACCCTTTCGGGATCATTGCCCTGCTCGACATCCGACTGTGCGAGTAGAGAGGGGATCTGCGCCATGGTAAGGGATGGGAGGGAGGGGTAGGATGTCAGATATGACGCGAACGCACCTAGCATGTCTCCTCCTCCTCTCCTCCTCCTCCTCCTCCTCCTCCTCCTCCTCCTCCTCCTCCTCCTCCCCATCCTCCTCTTCGTCGTCGTCCTCCTCCTCCTCCTCCTCCTCCTCCTCTTCGTCCTCCTCCTCCTCCTCCTCCTCCTCCTCCTCCTCAGCAGCAGCGGCCCTCGGCCTCGGCAAGCGTCAGAAGCGGCTTTGACCGCTCCAAGGTCAAGGGCCGCAAGGACAAGGCTTGGAGATTCTGGTCGGCGAACGCCAACTCCTGGAGCTCGCTCCAGGCAGCCATCGACTGGCAGAGGGGTTGGGGGGACGCCACCAGACCACACGTTCTTTTGTGCCAGGAACATCGGCTCAAAGATACATCACGTATTCGTTCGGCTGCAGGATGGCTTCGGTCTCGGGGCTACCATGGTGCCTTCGGCGCAGCTCGTGCCACAGGGTCGCAGGTCTCAGAGAGCTCGGCGGGAGTCCTCACCGCGGTGTCATCCTACGTGGAGTTCGCGGGGCTCGGCCTCCAGAAGTTCGGGGTGGACGCCGCCTTCGGCCCGCGCCTCAAGATAGTCAGGGCAAACATGATTTTCCCCCATGGTATGTACCTCATGTCTGTCTACGGCCACGTTGAGAAGATGGCTTACTCGGTGTTCTGGGACATGATGTCGCAGCTTGGTGGCAAGTTGCGCAGGTCCAGAATCCCTTGGGTCATCGGCGGTGACTTCAACCAGGACCCTTACGACGAGAGGATCCTGAAGTGGGCCGACATGCTCCAGGCCACGGTCATCGCCACGCCTGGGCCGACGTGCTTCTCAGCCCCGCAGGGCTCGAAGATAGATTTCTTTATTGTCAGCCAGGGGCTTGCCTCGTGCGTTTCGGATGTCAGGGCCCTCTACGGTGCTCCAATGTCGCCGCACGTGGCCATCAGCATGCAGCTCACGGGACCCTCGCTCGACATTCCTGTACATGTTCGCCAGACGTGGAAGGTCTTCCCCACTGAGCGCCCCATTGGCTGCCTCAACCACCCCATCGATCTCACCTGGTCTTGGGAGCCAGGAGATGCACCGTCGATGGAGCTGGAGGACGTTTGGAAGGAGTGGATCGATAACATGGAGGAGGAGCTCTGCTGGCAGTTTGACCTTGTGGGTAGGGCTGCGCAACCCTACAAGGGCAGGTCTGGCGGCTTCGGGAGGAAGGCCGTCCCACTGGCAGAAGTCATGAGGAAGGCCCCCATGTCAGGCAGCGGGGAGGTCATGCGCGCTTGGAGGTCCCTCGCCTCGATCATCAGACGGGCGCAAGGGCTCAGAGGTGGATCGTTGGAGGCAGGCAAGGAGATGGTGGCCAGGGCGGCACCGCCGCCAGACGTCTCTCTGAGAGTCAGGCTGCCCGACTACGCCCAGGGCCACACTTTCGGTCAGATGGCGAACTGGTCGGCGGGCTCGGCGGGTTCGGCTACCGCGCCTCAGGCGACGACGACCTCCCTCGCCTGGACTCACTCGCTCCGACCTGCGAAGGCCGAGAGGCTGCCAGCCCCCGCGGGCCCTCTTGGAGAGGAGGGGCCCCGCCCAGCGGGCGAGGCGCCGCATCGGCTGGAGGAGGAGCTGGTGGGTTGCACGGCGCCTACTTCTCAGATCGGGTCGTGTACTTCGTTTGCGCCCTCGTCGGGGTCTTCGGCCTCCCTCGCCTGGGCCCACTTGCTCCGACCTGAGAAGGCTGAGACCCCGAACGCCTCGGCACGGCCCCCCCCCCCCTCGAGGGAGCGCCCTGCCCAGCAGGCAGTCTCGGAGTTTCGCTGGAGGAGGAGAAGCGGGGTGCCATGGCGGCTACTTCGCGAAGGCCAATGACGTCGTGTTCGTTGGATGGACAGCAGGTGCTGCTAGGTTTGCTCGAAGAACTGGACGCCGTCGACGGGGCGTCCCTGCACGGCTTCGACGCCATCGGGCTAGGCTACCACCAGATTCGGCACACGATCGAGCTAGGCGGGGAGGACCTGGACACGCTCTGCGTCAAAGTCAGCGACGCGGCCCAGGAGGCCTCGGCTGCTGCTGCCCAAGCTGAACTCCATGAATGGCGTGAATGGGCCCAGGCCTCAGTCAAGGCTGGGGGGCGCAAGGCGCACAGGTTCATCAAGCAGTCGCCCCAGGCCTCTGGGCCCAAGGCCCCCGAGGGTTGGGCTTTGCAGGGTGATGGTGCAGTCGATGCCATGGTCGAGGAGTGGTCGCAGTACTGGGACGACGCCAAGCAGTGCATCTCGGACCAGCAGCACGCGCTGGCGAACAACTCCGACCTTCCTCGCCCCACAGTGGAGAGAGTGCGACAGGCCTGCCGTTCGTTTGGTCGCACTGTTGGGCTAGGCGTGGACTGCGTCAACCCACGTTCGTTTTTGTTGTTAGATGACCAGTTTATCCGCAGGCTGATCGACGTATTGGCGATGTGGGAGGCGGACCCACGCTTGCCTGAGCGTTGGCCGACAATCATGGTCTTCCTCTCCAAGCCAGATGGATCTGGAGTCAGGCCGATCGCCCTCATATGCTCCATCCTCAGGGTCTGGGGCAAGGTCAGGCGCGACATGGCCAAGGAGTGGGAAGAGCAACACGCCTCCCCCGTTTTTTTGGGGGCCAAGGATCGTGAGTGTGATCGGGCAGGTTGGATGCACCAGATGCTCGCACACTACGCAGCAGTCAGAGGGCTGGACACGGCCACATTGGCCACGGACCTCGACAAGTTCTACGAGAGGGTGTGCCACTTCGTGCTGTTCAATGAGGGGGAGGGATGTGGCTTCCCAGTCAAGCTTCTCAGGGCAGCCTGCGGCCTTTATGCTGGCCCCAGGACAATCAGCTTTCGAGGGTGTGTCTCAGACGTCATCAGGGCGGTGGGCACAGTGCTGGCTGGTTGTTCACTAGCCACATCGCTAGCGAGGGTCTTGGTCTACAGGCTTCTCACGACGCTGGCGGCAGCTCACCCATCAGTCCACATTCGGAACGTCATAGACGACATCAGCGCGCAGTCCCTGGGCACGGGCTTCCACGTCGTCTCCCAGCTGGGCGAGGTCGGGAGCAAGCTCATCGGGGGCTTGCGCGAGCTGCGCCTCGTGCTGTCTGAGAAAAAATGCAAGTTCCTGGCGTCGTCCAAAAAAGTTGCACATGGATTACTGAGCAGGTGGAACATGTCTTTTGAACGCCGAGGAGTCATCAAGAGCCTCGGCACGGATTGGCAAGTGAGTTCGTCTAGGCTGGCCCCCATAGCCTCCAAGAGGGTGGGGCTCTGTATCAGGCGCTCTGCGAGGCTCCGTAGTCTTAGGAGGGCTGGCGCCCCTGTTGGCCACATTCAGCGTGCGGGCCCCCAAGCCTCCGCTCTTTGGGGATGTGCCGTTAGGGGGCTCCCGTGGTCTTCCCTCAACAGAGTCCGTCAGCAGGCCCTTTTGGCCCTTGCTCCCATGAAGCGGGGTGCCTCGGTGGGCCTCAAGCTGCGCTCTTTTAAACTCGGTAGGAAGGTCGACCCTGTGCTTTTGTATTTCCGCCAGGTAATCTTTGAATGGGCCAGGGCCCTCTGGGAGGCCACCCCCAAGCTAGAGATTCTGCAGGCCACCTTTGAAGATGCCGTGCGTGTGCTGGCCAACACAAGCAGACCCTGGTCTCGGGCGACTTCGCCCGCTCACGTGTACGTTCTGGCGTGTGGTGACTTGGGCTGGACAGCACACTCGGCACGTTCGGTCACTCTCCAGACAGGTGAGCAGATTGATATGCTACGCCTGGCTCCGCGCGTGGTGGCCGACCTGGCAGGAAAGGCTGCCAGGGAGATGTCGGATTACCGCGCCCTCAGCTCTCGTGCTGGATCCAGCGCCTGGTGCCGGCCGATTTTCTGGCAGCCAGTTGAGGGTCTCCTAAGCAGGACGACCGACACCTGGACCCGAGCGCATCAAAACTCGTTTAGAGCGGCGGTCTCGGGCACCCATTGGCCTCAGGAGAGGCTGCATCGGCACGGCTTTACTACGTCGCCGTTATGTTTGCTGTGTCTTGGGGAGCCGGGGACCGTTTTTCACCGTCGGTTTGTCTGTGAAGCTTGGGAAGAGGACCGCAGGCAATTTCTTTCGGACGAATGCCGACAGGCTGCACGCCTAGTTCGCTCCTGGTGCGGAGATGCGGAGCTCTTTGCCAATGGCCTCTTCCCCTTTCCTCGGGAGCTCGTCCCTCCTCCGCTCAGCTCGAGTGAGTGTCCGATTTTGTGGATTCACAAGCCTGAGGACGGGATGCTCAGAGGCCGCCTCTTTACAGACGGGTCGGCCCTGCACCCGTCCGACGAGTCCCTCCGTAGGGCTGGATGGAGTGTGGTGCAGGTCGACTCGGAGGGATCTCTGGTCGCTGCGGCCTTCGGCCCTGTCCCATGGGACCTCTCGCCCTTCCAGTGGGCGCGAGACGGAGAGGACTACGCTTTTTATATGTTGCCGCAGCTCACGGTCCCGCATGAGGTCGAAGGCATTTGGTCCGACTGCGAGGGATCGGTGGCAGCTGCTCGTGCTCGTGTGGCGTCCGTCTCCGCACAGAGCCCTCAGGCCCATATGTGGTCTCGGATCCATGCGGCGTTCGAGGAAGGGCTCCCCGTCTTCAAAACGAAAGCCCACCTCTCGGAGGCTGACTTGGCCCTGGGCATGTCTGCTCCGTGGGAACGGAAAGCGAATGCTATAGCGGATGTCCTGGCCAAGCGGGGAGCGGCCCAGCATCCGTCTGTTCAGCAGGCCGCCAGCCAGGTCCGTGGGCTCAGCTTGTTGGGTCGGGAGCTGGGCCAGTGGGCTGGGCGGCAAGAGGTGATCATGTCTCAAAGGGGCTGGGTGGACTCCCAGGGGCTCCCTGAGGTTCCCGCCGCGCCTAGGGGCGGTAGAAGGCCTGCTCGGCAGCCCGCCTGCCCCAGTGCTTGGGTGCACTTTAGAGCGGTCCTCTCGGATGTCTCCCAGGGCCCCCAGGACCCCGAGCTTGGAGTTTTGGTGCAGCTTTCAGGGCACTGCCTTAGAGCCACCAGTGTGTTCAACGAGACTGGAGCCAGCGTCATCGCTGGCCACAGGCTCATCTGTTGTGTTTCTTGTGGGGCCTTCGCTTGGGGCAATGTGAGGGCCCTCTCGCAGGCCTGCCATCCCGCCCAAGCGGGCAAGGGGCTGAGGCAGCAGAAGGCCCGACTGTTGGCTCGCAAGTTCCCCAGGTGGCTGTCCAAGTATTCGGGCTGGTCTCTGGGTGAGTTGGAGATCCCGACCCCGTCCGATCTCCTGTCTCTCGCCTCCACCATCCTTGCTGCGCGCCCGAGGCCCGCAGCGCCGTCAGCCCATCCCGTCTTCCGTCCAGGACCGCCGTGGCGCCCCTGCTGGACACCTGGTGTCCTGCTCTCGCGCTTCGGCGTCTCGTTTGAGACCCTCCCGTTCTGGGAGGCCCAGGCGCGCGCCGCCCTCGGCATGGGGCAGGACGCGGGCGGGGCCCCCGAGGATTACGAGGAGGTGTAATTCTTTTTCGTTTTCATCTCGGCGGTTGGCGGCTTGGACGTCTTCCGCTCTCGTCTCATCTCATCTCACCTCCTCCTCCTCCTCCTCCTCCTCCTCTCCTCCTCCACCTCTCCTCCTCCTCTCCTCCTCCTCCCCCTCCTCCTCCCCCTCCTCCCCACCCTCCTCCTCCTCGTCCTCGTCCTCCTCGTCCTCCTCCTCCTCCTCCTCCTCCTCCTCTTCATCCTCCTCCTCCTCCACCACTCCTCCTCCTCTCCTCCACCTCTCCTGCTCTTCCTCCTCTCCTCTGCCTCCTCCTCATCATCATCCGCCTCCTCCTCCACCTCTCCTCCTCCTCCAACCTCCTCTCCTCCTCCTCCTCCCTCCTCCTCCTCCCCCTCCTCCTTCTCCTCCTTCTCCTCCTCCTCCTCCTCCTTCTCCTCCTCCTCTTCCTCCTCCTCTTCCTTCTCCTCCTCCTCCTGATCCTCCCTCTCCTCCTCTCCTGCTCCTCCTCCCCTACTCGTCCTCCTCCTCCGCCCTCCGCCTCCTCCTCCTCCTCCTCTCCTCCCTCCTCCGCCTCCTCCTCCTCCTCCTCCTCCTCCTCCTCCTCCTCCTCCTCCTCCTCCTCCTCCTCCTCCTCCTCCGACGACGACGACGACGACGACGACGACGACGACGACGACGACGACGAGGACGACGACAGACGACGAGGAGGACGATGACGACGACGATGACGACGACGACGAGTACAACGACGAAGCGACGACGACGACGACCAGGACGACGAAGGAACATGCGGTTGGCGCTGGGGGAGAAAAAACATGCGACCCCTGTCAGGCGATCCCCCCCGCAAGGGCCCATTCTGTGCACGCCGTCCCCCTGGAAGGGCTTCTTCGGTCCTCGAGCAAGCCAGGGCCAGAGCATGTGCTTAACGGGCGAAGAACGGTATAACATAAACTGTTTCGCTGTCGGGGGCGCCTGTCGCAGGGCGGCTGGAAAGTTTTTACCCTTATACGGTGGCACCGTAGGGGTATAAACTTTCCAGCCGCCCAGGGACAGGCGCCCCCGACAGCGAAAAAGTTTATGTTATACCGTTCTTCGTTCGCTGATGTGTAGAAGTGAGCAACATTAGAGAAATGTGTCCCACGCGAAATGGCATAGCGACCTTACGCGGTGGCTTACGCAGGCGGCAGGGGCGGAACGCTGCATCGGAAACGATGGCGCTTACGCGCGACCTTACGCGGGCAACTTCCGCGCGAATGCCCGCGCAATCGGCACCCTTTTTTTCGAGCCGTTCATATTGAGGCTGGCGCCTACTGGGGGCCGTTTGGAGCGTTGGGCAAGCTCTGCAATGTTGGGGCCATCGCCCACCGCGCCACACTTCCCCCCCGGCCGAGGGCGCGGATCGCTTGCCAAAGTGCTGGCCAAAGAAGGTCGTTTCGGCCACCTCGGCCTGCAGCCCTCCGGCTCGACGACGTCCTGCCCCCCTCCTCCTCCCCCCATCTCTCCCTCCCCCCTCCTCCTGGTCCTCCCCCTTTCTCCTCCTCCTCCTCCTCATCCTCATCTGCCTCCGCCTCCGCCTCCTCCTCCTCCTCCTCCTCCTCCCCTCCTCCTCCTCCTCCTCCCCCTCCTCCTCCTCCCCCTCCCTCCTCCTCTCCTCCTCCTCCTCCTCCTCCTCCTCCTCCTGGTTACACACTCGTTACACTGTGACGAAGCCGTATCGGTCCCCTCTCCTCCCCCCCTCCTCTTCACCTCCGCACGGACACCGCCCACACGCCGCCCGCAGGCCTCGGCCGCGCGGCCGTGCCCCTCCCCGCCCGCCCCCGCCGCCCGCAGCGGGGCGCAGAGAGCGATGGGGGCTCCAGGGCGCGCTCGAGGGCCGCCCGGGCCCCGGCCAGCTCGCCGGCGCGCTCGAGCGGCGCGGCGGCGGCGAGCGCGGCCTGCGGGCGCGCGGGGTCCCTATACCCTCTGAGGTACGGGCGTTGCAACTCCGACGACGGCGACGACGGCGACTACGACGACGACGACGGCGACGACGACGACGACGACGACGACGACGGCGGCGGCGACGACGACGACGACGACGGCGACGACGGCGGCGACGGCGACGACGACGAGGGCGGCGACGACGACGAAGACGGCGGCGAAGGCGGCTGCGGCGGCGGCGCCGCCGCCCTCCGCGCAGCCGCCGAGGGCCGCCAGGGACAGCCGAGGGCCGCCGAGGGGCCGCCGGGGGGCCGCCCTGGCCCGCTCTCGGGCCCAAGGGGCCCTCACAGCTCGAGCTGGCTCGAAGAACCTCCCCCCCCCCCCTCTCCCTCCTCCCTCCTCCCTCCTCCCTCTCCTTCTCCCTCCTCCTCCTCCCTCCTCCTCCTCCTCCTCCCTCCTCCTCCTCCTCCTCCCTCCCCCCGCCCCCCTCCTCCCCCTCCCTCCTCCCTCCTCCCTCCTCCCTCCTCCCTCCCCCCTCGCGCTGTGAAAAAACCCGGACCCTCCAGACGGGATATGCTTTTCGCTACTTTCGGCCTCCAGGGGCCTTTGCTGGGCCTCGGGACCGTCAAGAAACGACTCAGGATGAAAAACCGGCCCAGGGGAAGGGGTCCAGACCTCTGGGGGTCGGCGTAGTGAAGAAATCAAGATGTCGGGGGTCTGGGAATGGCGCAGGATGGTTGGTCCAGGACTCCGGTCTTGATCCCTCAGGATGCTGCAATGGTTTTGCAACGTCGGATCTCCGGGAATGGGGGGGGGGCAATAGACCCAGACCCCCGACGTCGTGACTTTTTTAACAACGTCGACCCCCAGAGGTCTGGACCCCTTCAACAGGACCGGCTTTTCGTCCTGAGCCGTTTTTTGACGGTCCCGAGGGCCAGGAAGGCCGGAGGCCGAAAATACCCCCCAAAAAATAACCCTCATGATTCTTCGCAGCGTGAGGAGGTCTGGGGACGTGGGGGGCGAAGAAGCGTGCACGTCCCCAGAGATCCGATGTCTTCTTCCTCCTCCTCCTCCTCCTCGTCCTCCTCCTCCTCCTCCTCCCCCTCCTCCTCCCTCCTCCTCCTCTCCTCCTCCTCCTCCTCCTCCTCCTCCTCCCTCCTCCCCCTCCTCCTCCTCCTCCTCCTCCTCCTCCTCCTCCTCCTCCTCCTCCTCCTCCTCCTCCTCCTCCTCAATGCGAAGTCCCTGGACATCTCGACCCATTCCCCGGGACCGGCTTCTCATCCCTGCGTTGCCTTTTTGACGGTCCCGGGGCCCGGCGAGGGCCCCTCGAAGCCGAAAGATACGAGAAACCTACGTCTTGATCTTTTCAATACGTTGGATCTCCGGTTCTCGCGCCCCATGTGGGCCCCGGGGGGCTCCTGCAGGGCCCCCCAAGAAGTGCGCGATGAGGTGCGGGATTGGCGGCGGCCCCTAAGAAACCCCCATTATATACAGGCCGAGGCTCGGGGAGACGCAAGACTCGGGTACGAGGGACTCGGGTTGGCCTGACGGGGGCCCTCCAAAAATGACGAGACCCAATCTGAAACTTGACGCGGGCTCCCGCTGCAGACAGCCCACGAAAACGGGACCGTCAAAATCCAGGACGCGCTCCTCAAAAAAATGTCGGCAAACCCGAGTGCCGGCGTACGCAGTCTTACATTTCCCAGAAAGGTGGCCTCCCGCGGCCCTGGACCCCTGCCAGACGCCCGAAAACGCTGCACAAATGTCACACCCAGGATGTCTCGAAACGCAAAACATATTCCCCGATCAGTGCTTGCACCGAAGGGGTCCTATAGCGGAACTTGAAGGATGTGGCGCATTTTTCCCGCCGATTTTGGTAGCAGGCTGGGTTCCCGGCTTCCCGGTTCTGGGTTCTCGGGTTCCCGGTTATTGGTTCTGGGCCGATTTCGGTGGGTTCTGGGTTTCCGGGCTCCCAGGTTCCCGGTCGATCTCTTCAGCGAAAATTATCCACTGATTGGGGTTTTTCTCTGGTGTAATATAGTCCCACTGGCTTTTGTTGCACGCTTTTGGGCTGCTCAGTGCTCAGTGCTCAGCCTTCCGGGCGTCCGAGAACGCCCGAGAAGCACCGATCACCGCTCCAAGACGATCGGCCAAAAAGGCTTGCCGACACTCTTATAGGGAGAGTCGAAAACGCACTGGTAAGCTTAGGTATATATTACGCCTTAGGCGTTCCCATATCCCAGGCTTTGGCTCATATCGCATGAGCAAGAGAGCAAGACGAAGCATGGGATCTGGAGTAAAAGATAGGATAGGCATCGTCAATGGAAAAGGTATTTTCCGATCTCAGACACGAATCGTGCGCCTCGGTGAGGCACAATCACATATTTGGCCGGGCCCGGCTTGAGCCAGGCACGGCAGCGGTACATGCTCGATTTATACCTCGCCTTTAACCTTCTCCGTTTAAAGTCGGAGGGGGAGGAGACGAGCAGGCACCGCACTTCTACATTATGCGGAAAAAACAGTGCTAAGCAGCAGCGGCTGCCTACAAGGCAAGGGCGCGCGAGTAGCCTCGCTTACCGGCGAGTTTCCTCGCTACTAGAGCGCACCTGCCCGCGGGTTTCCCCGCTAGCTCGGGAGGCAGGGCCGTCCTGAGACGACCTGCCCGCCCTATACGGTGTATGTTTCTTCAGCTCGTGCTTGAAGGATTGCTGGCCGGCCATTACTTGTAGGAGCAACGCGCGGTCAATACTACCTTTGGTATGACCATCGGCAGTCATATCCCGCGTGTCACACCATTGAACGCTTTCAACGATTCCGCGCTCCATCATCTGGCGGATCCAGCTAATGTGCCCAAGCAGAGTACATTCTGTGGGCTTCTTCAGATCTTTGCTAGACAAAGACTTGAAGACAGACTCGGCATCAATAGTCAGAGTGACTTTGATACATAGACCACCCATTTCCAATATGTTCTTTAACTGTGTGGGGGTCAATGGTCCCGAGTGTAGCTCGTGGAGCGTTACAATGGTCGGGTAGCAGTCTTCCAAGTTGTGGGCTGCTGCCAGTGTTTCCGCAGAGTAGCTCGAACGCACCTGCAGTCG